TTGAACTGCACAAATCGATTTTCAATTTTAATTTTAGAATCAGTCTGAGATAACAAGTTACTTATGTTTGATTCATTATTCATCATTATTAGTGTTAGTTTTGCTCAGTAGTCGTCGTTTTTGTCTTTCTCACCTTGATAGTTGAGGATAAATTCTTCATGTTTATCCTTTGTCGACCTTGTTGGTTGAAGATTTGGTGATGGGGCAGATTTATGAAGCTGGTGGAAAATACGTGAGACATTTCCACAGAAATTTTGACATAGAGAAGCATTAACTTGAAGTTCTACAAAGCTATTGTGGGGCACTTTTGGCCGTTGTGAAAAAGGTCTATTGCAGTGACGGTTTCTACGCTTGTAACGCATGAATCTGTTTCCGTATGAAAGTGGAGCCTTAAAAATGCACTGTGTAACTTATCCACTCAATATGAAGATATACTTTGCCTTGATTATTCCACAGTATGGAAATAAACTTGGTAATCACAATGGAGACAGGGTAATGGTCAGATCTATGGAGAAGCAAGCCTACACATGGTAAGATCTGATGTTTTTGAAGGTATTTTTGAGCTATAAAACATCTGTATTTGAACAAATGCAAAGGAGATCGGTTTCAGGCTACGTTTATATGATGAGGGTCTGAACAGAAGACGCAAAAGTGGCGTCGCGTCTTCGCTTTTTATTCCACGTTTAGACGCAAAAGTGTGTGGAATGGGATTGGGTATGCTTGCCGGACGGCTAGGTGGTGACGCCAGGTGCTGATGTACGCGACGTGAGCAGATCTGACCAGAGTTTTGCGTCTTGGGCAGTGTAGACGAAAACACTACGACGCAACGTTTTCAACTTTTCCACTCTGGACGGTGGTTTCAGATTTTTGCCTTTTTAAGCCCCAAAATGGCCGTCACCGTCTAAACGAAAGGCACTTCTGATAAAATATTTTGTCGTTTTTACCCACAAGTGTTCTCGTATAAACAGGCCCTAAGGTTCTACTATGGAAAATTCTAGGCAAAGAAATAACATCTCCATGGAGACAAGCAAGTAGCACACCTTAGAAGTTACATAGTGCATCTTTAAGACTTCAATTGTTTTACTTACACTTGCACATTTTTTATTTTAGTAGCACCTAAGCAGAGTGAAAAACATCCTAAATTTGTTTTGCAATTTCCGACATTTTCCACAATTTTCCTCAGACTAAATTTACCATCAGCAGTCTTCTAAACTTATGCCTACCAACAGGGTGCAATGTAACAGCGAGGACCACTTTGAAGGACTATTTTTGTAATCCTTCGTCTTCACACCATCTTTAGAGCGACTGTGTTAAACAACAAATCTGTCTCGAATCTCATATCTCCACTTATTGGTGTGTCGCGCTAAAACAGCTCAAGTGAAAAATATGGCTGCACGTGAAGTGAGAAAGGGAAGTATGTTTAGTATGTTGTGTTATAGAATTTCATGTGGTAATTTCAGATGGTGGGCAAGGGATTATGGTTTTCAGATTCTATAATGTGATGGCGTCTTACTTTCATTTTAAGGGATGTAACGGTACACGAATCTCTCGCTACAATACTGTCACAATATGCATCTCACGGTACGATATTTATTGCGATTTTTTTTTTAGAGAGGCTGATATAATTGTAGATGGGACACTTTTTTGCTTTTAAAATACCCTAACAAGATTTTGATGTGGATTATTACTGTCATAATCTCAAAAAATTCAATTAAAAAACATATTTCTTCATGTTGTTTGCGCTGAAATAAATCATGGGATATGTAGTTACTGATGTTTATTAGCTAGTACTACTATAAAACCATGTATTTAAGCAAAGGAACTTACAATTTGATATATTGTGACAGCCCATGATATTACTGTGAGACTTTTGACGATATGATTTCAGAATATTTTGGTTATTGTTACATCTCTACTCATTTCCCTACTGAACATTGAACTTTGCCATGAAATATCCAAAAGTTAAACTCACAAATGTTGAACCTGGTATTTTAAATGAGTAAATACCCCAAGAACTCTAAGTATTTGCATTTTAATTCATATTGGTGGTAGAAAACCTTCCAAATAAACAAGATAAATACACATTATCAACTTATAAAGAACTGGAATTATCTATATGAATCATTTAACTACACCTACAGTCAATCTTTTTCCTCTGGTGAGCTCCTTTACAAAACAAAAATGCCAAAGAGCTACTTATTTTAACAGTTGGAAGAAATTAAGTATATATAAGAGCCACAGCTTTAGATTGGGGACAGTTAGATGCCTTTAAAACATCAACCATTATTCATTTATTAGTGAACAAAACTGGGCATTAAAATGATAGATTTACCAAGGTAATTAATCAAACTGTACTTATTCAGCACAATACGTATAATTCAGAAATACCTTGGTGAGCTACTTGGAATGAAGAGCTACAGGTTGGAGACCCTTGACCTACAGTATGTCTTTTAATCTTTGTGTATATTGTTTATCTGTTTTCTTGTATGCATGTTTATAATAATTACTTAATAATAATCTGTATGTAAATTTGCAATAAATTTGATGGGAAAAAGACACATTTCCTTATTGATTACACTATATTTTCTCCTGAAATATCCAAAAAGTAAATGAACAAATGTTGAATCTGATCATTTCTATTAGTGACTAAACTAATAACAAGAATTCATTGTATTACAACACAATTTTGCATTTTAACCATTTTTACTTTAGCTAAACAGAAATGGAATAATGTAAATACTGTATATGTCTTAATATAGTGATCTCTTTTTTATTACTTTGGCTATTTGTATATACTAAATAAATAAGTAGTTAGGGACGGTACAAGATCTTGTGCCACAAGATCTCGTTAGACAAAAATACCTCAAGACAGTGCACATGTGAGGAAAATGTGAGATTTTTACTAGTACTAGTACAGAGACTAAAATATGAAATCAAATAAATAAAAAAAATGGTGAGGCCAAAATTGGAAACTGAATTGTGAAACGTATATATTAGGAATTGCGTTCGAATCTTGTCTTGTCTTGTTCTTGTGGACTCAGTCTTGTTTTGTGGAAATTTTGTTAGTTATTTGACCGAGATTAGAAGTGTCAAGAAAGTATTTTGGTGCTACGAGCTTCATTTGCATCAAACATGAGGGGGCGCTGTTGTTTCGAGCTGTGCTTCTTGACCAGATTTAAAGTTTGTTTTCAATTTTTTTTTTTTTTTGGCCCTGAGAGCAAGTTTATAACTAATTTTACTGTAACTGCACAACTGATTTCAAATTTTTTACTTTCAAAATTGTGCTGAATCCTATTGGTTATGTAATCAGATAATCAGAAATCTGTTTACTTCCTAAAATTGAAAAAAAGCAGCCTTGTGAGTTAACTAAGACTATTTTAACACTAATTATAACACTAATTATAATAAACCTTAAAATATTAGCTTTTAACTAAACTAATACTAAACAATTAGGCATATTTTAAGCTTTTTACAATATTTTCTTTAAACTGTTGTCTGCAAGTTATATTTTTTTTCTTTACATGTTTAATTTCAGACATTTTTGCAAACATTTCATTTTTCATGTGCAAAAATATACAGTTCATACATTTTCATTCAATTTCATAAAACTGATCATGCAGGTTAATTCATTCCATCACTCAAAAAAATCTAAAATTCTATTATTAAAATTCCATACTGGTCAGTTATGTATTATGTATTTTATGTCACATGCAGTAAATAGTTTGAATAAAATTAACGAACTAATGCAAATACGGAGGTTAGAAGTTAGTAGTTGATTAAGATTTCACCCTGGAAAAACACATGCATTTCAGATTAAAGGGCCCATATGACGCTATTTTCTGATCTATGTTATAATGTTTCCATGTCACAAATATACCTGGAGTTGTGTTTTGTTTCATTCACATGTTTAACACAGAAACACTGCATATTTAGGCTGAGTTCTTCTCTTAAACTGAAAACAACTTGTTCCACCTTGTGATGTCATGCTAGATTTTACCTTTTGTTCAGTAGAGATTTGAAATTCCAGGTCTGAAATCATCATGACATGACATCACAAGGTGGAACAGAGCGTTTTGAGCTTTGGAGATGTAGACAGACTAATAAAAATGCTCAAAATGCTCCACCCTGTTCCACCTTGTAATGTCATGAAGCAGTTGTTTTCAAGTTGACTGCTCCTTTTTACCTTTTAGTTCAGTAGAGATTGTTAATTCCAGGTCTGAAATGATCATGACGTGACATCATAAGGTGGAACAGAGCGTTTTGAGCTTTAGAGATGTAGCCCGACTAATAATAAAGGGTTAATCAAATATGTGTGAATGAAACAAAACACAACTCCAGGTCTGTTTTTGAGGAGGTAATAACATTATCACATGTCTAAAGTGACCAGATGAGTCCCAGTTTTGAGTTCTATGTGCTCCTGTCCCACCAGATTTCTCCAAAACCATAGATTTATCCCAGTTTTATTCAAAAAATTTCCCTCTTTTTGACCAATCTGATCCCTGCCAACATTAAAGAGAGGCATACATTGTCATTTGTTTAGCTAAAATGCCGAAAAGCTGCTTAAAAATGCCAAAAACAAAGAAAATGTGACTATACTGCCTCACATTAGTGCTGAGTGCATAACAATTTTACTTAATTACGCACTCGTTTCACAATTTTATTATTACCAACCCAAACCAGGGATGTCCCGGTCTTATTTTGAAAATCTGGTCACCCTAAACATGTCTAAAAGCTCTAAGAAAACTATACGGGCGATTCTAAGTATTTTAGAGTTGTAATTTTATATTTAGTTTTAATTAATCCTTTATGTATCTACTTATTGACCCAAATGATGAGGAAATGTGACATGTTGAACCAGAGTGATTGGGCATTCAGGGTTATCGTTATGTTAGCATGTTTAGCCGTTAGCGTGTTAGCTCAGTACTGATGCTATTGGGAACCAGCGGCGCATTCTCTCCTAACAGGGCGGAGTTACCCACGAACAAGCCCCGCCCCCTTACCCTCCATCTCCACACTGATCGGCTCCGAGTCAGGTGACCCCTTCTCCCTCACTCGGGGAGGCGGGCCTTCGGGACCCGCGCCTCTGCGTGGGTCACCTGTCTCCTTGGGGGATGCCGGCCCCTGATTGGTTGTGCTGGCAGTTGTGGGTGTGGTCTTCCCTGCGGTGGCGGTGAAGGGGGGAGGGGCGGAGGAAGGAAGGAAGGAGGGAGGGGGAGGGCACAGAGCGAGTGATTAGTGAAATGAAGAACACTGCGGAGAGATGAGGTGAGCCTGGATGGAGAGAGAGCCACCACCGTTAGCAAAAGCAAAACCACCCGTGTACAAGGAAGCAGCCCCGTCTCACCGAAAATACACAAACATGAAACTGTTACACGGACTAAAGCGTGTACAATGTTTACACCAGAAAACTGTGGAGACTTTAACCTCTGCATGCATGTTTCTACACAAAGTCAAATTTATAATGTACCGTATTTTTCAGGCTATAAGGCGCACTTAAAATCCCTTCATTTTCTCAAAAATCGACTTAATCCACTCCAAAAATCTTATAATAATGTGCCTTATAATCCAGTGCACTTTATGTATTAATTCTGGTTGTGCTTACTGACCTTAAATTGATTTTCACATATATTCCGTTGAGTCGTGTTCTTTAGTCTGACAGAAGCTGATATTTTATGCAAATTAGCCATGTGGTTTTAAGTTTTGTTTCTGTAAAATGTAAATACAAGTGCACAAAGCTGCATTAAACACATTATTACTCAATGGATATTTGAGACGTCCTTGTAGGAAATAAAAAAAGGCTTAAATCTCAAGTGTCGTCCGTTTGTTTCGCTTAATGCACCTTATAATCCGGTGCACCTTATGTATGAAAACAGATGAGGGAATTCAACATTATTGATATTGCGCCTTATAGTCCGAAAAATACGGTATTGTTAATTCTTTAAGGGCCTAATGCCGCATTCTGTCGATAGTCGATAAATCTGAATCAGTTCTCCCAAAATCCGTTGTAAATGTGTTCCATTGCAACAGTTGGGGAAAATACGAGTGCCCGAGAAAGTTTAATGTCCAGCCAACTCTGTCTGCACTGAACTAGGCTGAGGTTGTGTTTCGGAACCCCTATTTGATTGGCCTGTTCCATTACACTTTCTCGAGATGGAGGTCGGGTACAATAGAATGCATCATAAAGTATGCAAAAAAGTGACTCTTGTGAGCTGTAAATCATGTTCGAATGTTGTTGCCTCCTGGAGTTGTGTTTTGTTTCATTCACATGTTTGAGTAATCCTGCATTATTAGTCTATGTACATCTCAAAAGTTCAAAACGCTCTGTTCTACCGAGTGATGTCATGAAGAGGTAGTTTTCAAATTAACAAATCTTACTTTTACCTTTTGTTCAGTACTCGTGACAATTTCAGGGCTGGAATCATCTAAATTATTCTAGTGAAGGTGTATGGACTTTAAAAACACATTCGAGCATTTCCTGTATTACCACATGACATCATCAGGTAGAACAGTGTGTTTTCAATTTGAGGGAACACCGCCTAAACCAAAAAATGCAGAGTTTGTGTGTTAAACATGTGTGAATGAAACAAAACACAACTCCAGGTCTGTTTGTGATGAGGAAACATTATAACATAGATCAGAAAATATCATAAATTCATCATTGGCCCTTTCATAGTCTGATTTAACAGTATTCAAGCTGCATTTCGTCGACTGATTGACGATTGTTGGTCAAATACTGGATGGAGTTCCACGCTGACTTTGACATTGAATTCATTTTGATGTGTCACTATGGTTACCGTCTTGCAGCACCCAAAGTCTTAGTAATATAAAATGTGGCGTGACACTTTAACATGTTGAGGTGCTAAAGACGAAGAAATACAGAACTGTTACATCTTATAGTCAAATGACCTCATCTCTTTTTTTTCACAATTTTTAATTGAAATTTAAATATATAAGAACTTTTCTCACCACGTACTTTAATCCTAGTGTAATAGTGTTTAGTGGTAGTGTAGCAGTACTCTGAAAGTTGTGGTAACTCTTTCCACTGTGAGTAAGTCAACTTTCGTCCAGTTATGCAGAATTTATTTTTTTTAAGGGTAGGATTACACTGACTTTTAACTAGACCCTAAAACTTGCCAAGACAAAAAAAAAATCTGAATTTTAACAATATAGATTTTAGTTTAGCCCATTTGTATTAAATATGATTGGCCTAGAATGTTGTAAAATCATCTTAAACCCAGCAACAGGTAAGGTACATACACACTACATAAACATTGTACACACTTTGGTCGCTGTAACTGTTTTACTCTGTCGATACTTTAAAGGTTACGCTACTTTACGCCATTACACCATTAGATCTGTTATAATGTTTCCTCATCGCAAATATACCTTGTGTTTTGTTTCATTCACTCACACAAACTCTACATATTTAGTCTGAGTTGTTCTCTCAAACGTAAAACACTCTGTTGGACCTTGTGATGTCATGTGGAAGTGCTCAATTCTGCTTTTAAACTCCATACAACTGAACTAGAATGAACTGGATCATTTCAGCTCTGGATTTGCTGATCTGTACTGAAAGTAAAAATTTGCTAAACACTCAAAAACAATAGAACAGAGCATTTTGAGCTTTAGAAATGTTGACAGATCACAGAACTATAATAAAATCTGGAAGATGAATCCAAGATGATGTTGTATTGTTTTCAGTGGCCTGTGCTCATTGGTGCACTGCCCAAAAAAGATTTTCACTTCTGCGTTACATCCTGAATATTGGCCCTACGCTGCAAAACGTGGCAAGTCAGAAACGTACAGTTCTGACCGGTTAAAGAGCCAGCCTCTAGAGCAGAGCTTGGTTAACTCTTACAAAGCTGATTTTTAGATGCTTTGATGATTAAGAAAATAATAATAAAGTCCATATTGTAAGAATATAGAAGAAGCCGTATAAAATCTGACTCTTATGAAAGTTGTCGATGCTCTGCGCTTTATAGAACAATTCTTTCTGGGCCAGAGCTCTCGGGAGCTGCAGTACCTATAGAGCTAATCGATCTGGAGTGTCTTATCCAGTTCTTATTATAGATCCATGACACAGACTCGTGGTTAAAGAATCACTCAAACATGTGTGAATAAAACAAAGCACAATTTCAGGCATGTTTTTGAGAAGATAACAACATTCTAACATGGCTAAAAGCTCACAAGAGTCTATTTTGTGTAATATAAAACCTTTAAATATCACTGGCCTATAGAATGTTGTAATGTAATTTGAAATACAGTAGTTGAAGTGTTGGTCAAAATATAAACATTGTACATACTTTGGTAGCTGAAACAGTTTTGCTTTGTCCAAACTTTAAAAGGCGCATTGTGTAACTTTGCTGGTGGAGTGTCTGACAACTTTTCTTCATGCTTTGTCTGGAATGTTTCACAGTACGGTATTAAACCTTTCTATCTTCATGAAGACCGATCCGGACCATGTTACAAATCAGATCTGTGGCGAGACAACACCGCTCGCGGTCAGAATGTCAGTTTTTCTAGGTATTTTTGAGCTATAAAACCACCTGTAATTGAATAAATGTAAGGTAGAGCTGTTTAATGTCATACTGTGAAACATTCCAGGTCCCCCAACCAAAAAGTTACCCTTAAAAATCATACATAAATGCATTGTCATTAGTGAGACAGGGCTGCACACACAACAATGACAGTGACAGAACATGATGGAACAGACATCACCCACATGGAGACGTGTGGTTTAGACCTGCTTAAGTTTCAGTCCACACGCTTGGATCAGCTCACACCTCTGGTCCCGTATACTCTGAGTTTATGCAGCGTCGCTATATTCGCCGCACGTTTCAAAGCGCTGTGGTAAGAACGCTACGAAGTGCATTTCTGAATTTTGTCAAAGCCACAACACAGATACCCGTCAGGTTCCGACAGGCGTGCCAAGTCAAAAGATTTCTGTGTAAGGTGTTTGAGTGAAACTTGGGTTGAGTAAGTTCAGCATAAAAAGTGATAAGAAAGCATTACCAGTACTTCATAAATGTTACATAGTTTCACTTTGGTTATGTTGAGCTAGTCTTCAGTTATACTAGCTGCGTCTTGCAAAATAAAATTAAATAAAATAGTCTCAGTCGCCTTTGTGTCTTAGTCAAAGGTCTGAGTGCAGTTGAACAGGAGGACTGGTCAGGGAGGGTCAGCAGATCTGTGTCAGGGCAAATTGAGGAGAGAAAGAGCCAAAACTCTTCCTCCTCTGTGTCCTGCAGCATCCCAGCAGCCTCCAGGGGGCGCCAGGTGACCACAACAGGAAAGGCCTCATTCTTACTCCACTCTGAATTTTCGGTTGATGTTAAAAGTACTTCCTCTGGAAGGTCTTCTGCCACATTTACTGAGACAAATGGTATAAAAATAGCCTCATTCATCAGCCGGTTTCACTTTGTGGAAACCGTCTGACCTTCCGTCTGAGGATTTGTTCGCTCAACAGTAGGCGGGTACTTTTTTATTTAATCAGTTGCTGCTATTTGGTTGTGCGTCACTGACAGGGCTAACTGGTATATTAAGCTTTTCCAAAATCCCATAGGAAGAAGGGCAATAACGTCTTTCCCCTTGATAAAGTTCACCAAACATTCTCTTTGTTTGGGCTTTAAATCCTCGATCTCAGGAATCGTTGCCAACACAGAATGCATGTCTTTGTCTATATCCATCTCGACCGCTTTGTTTACTGTTGTTGTACCACAAAAGGGACCCAGACAGGCCCAACAAGTTTCACGTCATGGCTTCACAGCTCTTTGCTGATTGGCCAGTGCGCGGTCTACAACTTCCGGGGTTCTTGCAAACCGTCTAGTGTATTCTGATTCCTGACCTAGTCGCTGGAGACACTAGGTGGCGCCAGCTTGACTAGTGTAAAAAGCCTGTAGCATCGTAAATGTCTCCATAGATTCGGGAAAAACAAATCACTCATTTCATACAATCCTTTGAACTGAACTGAACTGAACTGCTGCACTTCTTAGTTGGTTAAAATCCCATGACATGATGTTAAAAACTGAGCTAAAAAAAAAAAAAAAAGTCTCAAAAACTGTTCAGCATATGAGCCAGGCAGCCACAAACCACCAATAGTTTTGTGGTTTAAATCTGCTCTTGGTTTTGGTGTCAGTAGCATAAATTAACTTTATTATTA